CTGCTGCGCTCCGTGCGCCGCCTGCGCGAGGTGTTCGAGGTGTGCGGCCGCGACCCCGACGGCTTCCTGCGCGTGGAGCGCGTCGCGGCCCTCGGACTGCGCTTCGGCCAGGGCGAGGAGGTAAGGGGACCGCGGCGGGGCGCCGCGCCGGGATCGCGGGGAGCGCCTTGTCCCCCACCCTCTTCCCGGGCCGGCCTGGCCTCCCTCCCGGTTCTCCTCACGGGTTCACCTGGCCGCCACACGGCCCACGGCGGTGGCTTCTCCCCACACCACCTCCCGGCCCCTCAAGGGAACCCCAGTAGGCCGCCCCTCCCCCCGCCAGGACAGGAGCTATCCCCTGCACTGCCGGACGCTCCTTTCCACCGTGAGCGCCCTGCTGGAGCATCCCGAGCGGCTCGGGGTGGCCTCTCTGCCCACCTCCCCTCCCTCGCCGTGTGGGCCCCTCTGGCGGGGCTGCAGCTCCCTCGATGTGGGGGGGGCGGGGGCGGGGAAGGAGCTGTCAGAACCTGTGGAGAATCAGGGATCTCTCAGCTTGGAACCCCAGTTCTGTGAGAGGAGTCAGGCGCTTGCTCCACCGGGCCTAACCAAGGGGTGGCAGGGACAAGTAGGAGTGCTGCGCAGCCTTGACTCCTAGGCTGCGCCCAGCCGGCCTAGAATGCGACTGGGGGCCATCCTGGGTTCTCCTGAGCCCAGCTCTTGCTGACCCCGCTTTCAGGCCCTGAAAGCAGGCCTGGCTGGCAGCGGGCTGTGCTGGCTGCGGCAGGAGCCAAAGCCAACCTTAGGGAGTGGCCGCTGAGGACTGTATCCTGTGGTCTCTCTGGGGAACACAGGAGTTAATTTTGGTTGTTAGCAGGGCTGGCATCTGAGGGTTGGTGCTGCCAGTGGGGAGGGAATAGCCATGAATGCCCCATCGGGGCTGATGACTGAGTCTAGCAAGAGGGCAATGTCCACCTTGCAGGAGAGCATCCCTGCCCTCCTGCCACTGCCTATTCTGAATAACCGATGCTTCCTCTTGGGGAAGGGAAACCCTGAGTAGTGAGTTTCCAAGGACACCTATGGCCACAAGCCTCAAATGGGCACTGACTGGCATTCTCTTTCCAGGGCAGCTTGTGCCTAGAATTCCAGTATAGGGGGGAAACCAGGGCATGGCCAGGTTGGATCCACACCTCCCTGCCACCTGGCAAGTGGGAGATGACAGACAACGATCTCTCCATGGCACCTGGGCATGACTGGGACCTGGGCTCCAGGGTGGAAGAGGACGAAGCAGGTGCCAAGTTTGAGAGCTTGGTCCCCAACCCAGAAAGCTCACTGCTGCAGTGCCTGTTGGTTCCCACCCAGTCTTTCTACAGGCTCACCCTGCCCCTACTGGACTTTGCTGAGGGCATTTCCTACAGCCATCAAGATGCTTCTTCTGCCCTCCCCAAACCAGCCAAAGTCCTCCCCACACTGGTGCTCTTTGAGGTTGAATGGCCCCCTAGAGGGGGGAGAGGCCCTGTTCCTGTCTCTCAGGACATAGGCTTCAGGGGAGAAGTGCCCACTTCTGAATGAAACCTGGAGCCTCAGGAACACTGCACCTTGTGTTGGGCAAGTCTTCCTAGCAATCCCTGGCAGGAGTTCCTCCCCATCCCATCATCACTCCCCATCCCCACCCCTGCACCCACCCTGTCCATAACCCAGGCAAGCCTCACCGCATTGTGGTGAGGATAGCTCCTGTAGCTGGACAGCTCCTGTCCTTCAGTCTCCCTCCTCACTCTAGAGCCAAGCCTGCTTGTCGCTTAGTTTTTAATATTCTTTGTGGACACTCACATAGGTCTCTCTTCTATGTGGCAGCTTTTAAATATTTGACAAAAGTGCTCCTGTTCTTTACTCCTTACCACCCTCTCCCTCCCATCTTCCTTTCTCCAGACCTTTGGAGAAGGACTGTTTCTGAAGTCCCAGAACACTTCCATGGGGTACCCCATTCCCAGAGCCAAACCTTGGACCTCTGGCCCTGGAGCTGTCTTGCATTAGTTGTATGACCTGGTTTTCCTAGTATTAACAGGAAGGAATGGGCTAGGAGACCCACCCCAGGACCATTCCAACCCAAGACCTCACACACATGCAAACAGCTCAGGATGGTGCTGCCTTTTGAATGGCACACCACACTTTCTGCTCATGTTCGGTTTCTGGATGCCAACCACCTCCTCCCCTCTAAGAGAGCTTTCTGAGAAACCTCTACAAGCCTAGAATTTCATTGTATTGTGGAGTAGGGTTGGTGATTTCTTTCTTTTTAATGCATGGTCTTTTATTATTATAAGCAGTTTTGTGTGTACTGTAGGAAATTAGAAATATGGAAAAGCAGAAAGAAAAGTCTTATGTTCCCATCTCCCAGGGAGCCCTCTGTGACATCTTGGGCACATCTTTTCAGATACCTTTCTGTGCTTATATGTAGATTTTCTCCATATGATGTGATCATGCTGTGCATACTATTTTATAACCTGATTTTTTTCTCAGTAAATGATCAGCACTTTTCTGCTTCAATAAATTTTCATCCCACTTAATATGCAGATCTTACTCAGATTTCCCTACTTGACCTCAAAATGTCTGTTTTCAATTTCCCTACTGGATCCCAAAATGTCTATTTTTGCTATTTTATTTCAACGAATTTCCTCTCCAGAACTGTGTAGTGCATCCGGTTGTTGTTACCTTCAGTCTCTTTCACGCTAATGCAATTCCTTAAAAAAAAAAAAAAAGCATTTAAAAAAAAATCCTGACTTGTTAATGAGATCACTCCTGTTATCTGTGTCAGTTCTTGAATATAAACCTTAGTTGGGCCTTATTTCTACTTAATTTCATCTTGTTTATTTCATACTGAGTCAGAGAATATAGAGAATTAAAAATCACTCTCCCATGTTGTGCCAGAGAAAGATGCAGATTGGAGAAGTGCCTGAATGCAAGGCTGTTGGGAAACGCGGGGCAGGACCACGGACAGGGCCCTGAAGCGCTTGTAGGGGTGGATCTACTCTCAGTGTATAGACGAAGGCCCACAGATACTAATTGTCTGTCTCTGTTCACTACACAGAACATCCGCATATGCATCATAGGAGTGTCATTTCCCTTCAGGTGGGGGTTCCTTCCAAAATTCTGTGTTCCCACACTGTTTTGTTTGCTTAAAATTCAGGTAGCAATGTTGACTTCCCAACCTTCAATGCTGCAGGAAGAATAACTGTCATTTGGTAAATATGGGGTTCAGTGAACTTTTCAGAGTTAATTCCTACATTTTACACACTTCCCCCAGGATCCCTGTGATACCAAAATCAAATGCTTTGCAAAATCAAAATATACTGGGTTGCAAAATGTAAAATAAATAGCCACGAAGTCATGCTGTACAAGTAAGTGATTGAATAAATGAATAAGTAGATATAGAATAGGAAAATTCCTGTACAGAAAAATAGTGTGAATAATTCTTTATCAAGGAGGTGGAATATAATTCCCTACCCCTTACGTACTAGCTGTCTGAAGTGACACCCTTCTAACAAGAACAGTATGGAAAGAGGGCTGAAGAACACCTTTCCAGAAAAAAATATCTGACAGGGCCTGCCAGAGCCAGGTGTCCACAGTCAACATCAGCAGGGATAATTCCTGTCACTGTGTGTGTGCTTGGAATGGTGTAACGAGAATGACCCTGGCTTCCATGACTTTCCTCCCCAAACCCATCATCCCAGTCTGATCATGAGGAAAAAATCAGACAGATCCCACCCAACGAAACGACAAGCAGCCCTCTGGACTGCCAAAGTCATCAAAAGTCAAAGTCTGAGGAACTAGAACAGCAAGGGGAGCCTGAGGAGGCAGGAGAATTAATGCCCTATTGTATCCTGAAACAAGAAGAGGGCATTAGGGGGGGAAATTTAGAAAGCTTGAAAAAAGTATGGGCTTCAGTTAATAGAAATGTTATATATTGTATACACATATGTTTGTATTAGGCTGATGTCCGATATCTCCTTAATGTATTGACTTCCTAATCATAGTAGAAAAGAGAAGAGGGGCCTCTCTGGTGGCACAGGGGTTCAAGTCTCAGCACTTCCAAGCTATTGTCAACCACTGCAGCATGAGTTCGAGCCCAGGCCAGGGAGCTGTTGACACGGCTCAGCAGACCTCTCCTGTCTCGCCTTCAGCCGTGTATTTCAGTTCTGCTCCCCACTCTGTCTCTGGTGAATCCTTTCCCCCACACCTCTTGTCTACACCCCAGTTCTTATATGCATGAATAGATATACATATATGAATGAAAAGAGAGACAAGAATACACAAAGCTTGACTCTTGAGGGAAAGCAGAGGCGACCAACCCCACAGCCCTGACCCTGGATGATGGAACCAGTAGGAGCAGCTCGAGTGTGAGTTCCTAAAATGGTAGCCAAGCACCCTGAGCCTGTGTTGGCTTCTGAGGTCTCGCTTTTTTCCCTCTCCTCTCTAGACTCACCCATAAATAGGGGTGAAAAGAGTCCCCATTCCACTGGATGATCGTGGGGCTGGAGCCACTGAATACAAGTGGGGTATTTAGTCCAGTCACTGCACAGAGTAGGCATCGTATCAGACTGCTGCTGCTGTTGTTACGCTTGTTTATTACTAAACAGACATCTTTGAGAGGCTGTCCCAGACTGGGGTGTTCGGGGGGCCCCCTTGGGGCCAGTCTCCTGCATCCTCAGCCCTCCCTGCTTCTCTGCCTCTGGCTTTCAGCCCCTCTTGCATCTTTTCCAGCAGTCTGAGAATAGAAGACCTTGAAAGCAGCCAGAAGTATCTTGAGCCACATTTGCTGTTATATAACCTTCCTCCTTTTTTGGTTTGAAGACCATCCTTCTTATTAGAAAAATGGAGACGACAGTAGTTGAGTCTTATGTCTGCCTTTGGTTAACATGGCACCAGCTCCTCTGAGCAGCTGGCCTGTCCTTCCTGCTGGGGAGGGAGTCTAAGCATGCTGTGAATTAACCTGGGGGGGAGGTGACTCTGCCTTAACTGATCTGAGGCTTGTGTGCAATTTTCCCCTCCTTTGCAGCTACCCCTGGACATGCAAATGGGCATCATGTCTCTTATTTGATTTGAGCACAGATGAGTCCCCATATCCCCTCGGCATGAATGGCAGCCAT